CAATAAGCCAGCCAGATCCGATTATTGATATCAAACGGTTTGATCTTTTTGACTTTTGCAAACGATCCGGTCTTGCGATTGGTCGATTTGTTTAAATCAAAACATAAATTCACAGTAAAACTGTCTTCCAGTGCGAAATTAGTGAATCTAGGCAACTTGCCCAGTTTTACTCAATTTGTTATAACAGGGGGGTCCCTGTGGCAAAAGCGTTTTACTGCGTTTACACATTCACGCGTTCAGGTAGGGATGGAAAACAACCGGAATTCGCGGACCACGTCTATCTGACTGGTCTTAAGTAGGGTGAAGACAGCACTTGGCTGTCGACAAATGTTCATCTATCTTATGGGTTAAACTATGTGTGAAGTAAAGACAAGACACATTGCTTTGCAGATCTCCAACACAACCACCTCGATTTCGGGGACTGTGCGGTTTCTGAAGAACCCAGTCACACATTCACACTAACTCACTTTGGTCCAGTATCAGACCAGGAGACCGCTACAAGCTTTCGCTTCTGCTGGCCAACAGACCACCGAAACCTTCAGTTCATCCCAGCTAAGGGCCATCTACACCCAAAACAGTCTCGAAGGATCACAGTGAAGTTCCGACCGAACAGTCGACCGGTAACCTTGCAAACTATTCCAATTAACTGTACTCTGAAACGCATCCGCGTTCCCATTCCTGAAGGTTGCACAAAGGCGAGTTTGTAGTAGTGGGATGACTATTCTCATGTCGGCTATTGTGTTTTCTATCCATTCATTTTTTTTCGTTGCGTCAACACCAGTGATAACGGCATCCTCCCTATTCGTCATCCGTGGTTGTGTACAAACAGCTTATTTATTGTCTCCCCTGTTGTACCGCCACTCGCTCGATAGCGTTCATCTACCAAATGAACCGAACTTATTCCAAAGAAAAGAACACATGATTCAGCGTAACCGTAGCTGTGCCATAGCAACTACGCTGGTGATCGTTTGACTGCACTGCTGCCACGATCACATTACTCTTCGCTGCGGCACCGATGAACGAATACCCATCTCTTACTTCACTGAATCACGAATAATCGGATCTGTCTGTTTGAACTTACGAGTATAACCATCCCTGTCGTAATATGTGGCTTGTTCGTTGTATCCATAGTACACACAGGTCACTTAGATGAGTAAAGTGACGTTGGAATTCATCCGTGTTACACACTGCTGTGACTCTAGCTTTGTGTGCGTCCCCCCCCTACGAAGAAATCCTCTAAAAGAAGCCCATTCACTGTAGAGGCAGCACGGACGTTTTATAGTTTGCAAGCCTCATCGAAGAACCTATCTCCAGACCCAAACAGATATGTTTCACTTACCAAACCTGTCAAGTGTCGTCCTGGAGAAAACATCACACANAACCTTCTTCTTCCAGGATAGGTGCACGATTGACCTTTTTGTTTCGGTGCTATTTCTAGAAAACCTAGTTTTCTACTCAACTCTTAACCCTTTTTCGATTGTAACCAAAATCAAACATTTACAACAGGTCGTTTGATTCACACAGGCACTATATATGTAATTAATTATCTGAATATCAAACATTTACAACAGGTCGTTTGATTCACACAGGCATTATATATGTAACTAATTACCTGAATAGGCAGGCTGTGTGCTTGATTTTGAGATGGCTTTCTCTGTTCAGAAGGTACACTTATCCGTTAGCTAACGCTAACAAAATACCTATCGATGACAACCTCTAATCCTCCTGTGAAATAAAAGGATACTGCAGTTCCTCTCTTAATTCATCTCTTCAAACGATGTTGACAGACTGACGCGATTTCCTTTTCGAAATCTGAAGAAACTCTAAATCACGCATATATGACACTCAAGCCGGGCAGCTTGGATTTTGAGTTAGACACACAATTACATGATGAATTGTGTTCATATACTGTAGGCAGATTAGGCGCAACGACGTCGCCTCACGGTTGCTTTGCCTAGATGAGGTGAATTCGGTTGTTAAACATGGTTTATCAACGAATGTTCGACGAGATAAATGGCCCTGATATTCAAAAGCGATAAACCTTTTGAGCTTTTCTTTTTTCTCAGGATTGTCATGGCGGTCTCTATGCCGTAGCAGAAAACCGATTCATCTTTCCCAGCATTTTGGTTGGCACAGCAGCACGGGCCCGCTTTTGCATGACCAACCGAGGTAAAGTTCCCGCCGATGTCACTTTTGAAATTCGTCCCATCGGACATTTGCCTCCCCGTGTCACTCGTCGCCCGGCCAGCCGCGGTAACCGCCCTGCCAGCAGCACAGGAATGTTTAGCCTGGAAATGGAACGGACCCAAATAGACCCATATACATCAACTTACGTGACCGTGACCTTCACTCCTCAAGCAATGCAGGTAAGCCCGGGAACTCTGAAGACCCAACTCATTCTAAAGTATGCGTAAATCATGCCTGTCCGTGCACTAATTTCTGCAACTCAGCTATCATATTTTGTCTACTTTGTAGAAATATGTGTCAAACTTCCTTGTGTATTTGGAGAACCCCTCATCATCTTCCGTGCAGCCGACATCTGTAAGAAACGTTAGTGTTGCTGGACAAAAACAGTCAACCACCGGGGTCCCTGTTTTGAATTTTGAACTGATCGGCCAAGGTCATCTTCCAAGCTTAACTATCGTCGAGCCTAGCGCGCGTGGTCGGCAAGGACAGATTATCTGTGCATTCAAGCGGGTGCATGTAGGAAGACAAGTGAAAAGACGGCTGTTGCTGAGAAATTCGGGTGAACTAAATTGTGGGGTAGGTTAGTTGATACTTATCCGGTAGAACATTGACTATCCTCTTCAAACCACAAACTTCACAACATTTTTTTAAGAATCGCGACATGCTTCACCTGTAAAAACATATAGTCTGATTCTTGGTTTAAAGGTGTTGTTAGTCTACTTGATTGCATTGGGTGTATTCCTCCCGAAAGATAAATATTCTTCAGCGGAATGAACCTTTTATTTATCAGCTGAGGTATTCTTCACATCTTCAACTAAGTACACAACACAAGCCTAAGATAATGCCAATGAGACATTGGTGTTCATTGAAAATTAGCTTGCCATGAATGTAGTTTTCCACCTAATATTGAGCAAAACATGGTCAACTTAATGCGAGAAAATCAAGCGGCAAGCCACATAGAATCTTCTGGGTCTTGCGTGCGTTCTACCTTGATGTAGTTTTCCACCGTATATTGAGCAAAACATGGTCAATTTAATGCGAGAAAATCAAGCGGCAAGCCACATAGAATCTTCTGGGTCTTGCGTGCGTATCTACCTTGACAAGAGTGTGAGCCAGGCCTTAGTCAGTCTACTGGTGAGGGTGAGCGTGGTCGTCTGATGTTATGGACAGGGTTACCACTAGTTCAGTTCCAAATTAAGGCTTACTGTTGTAGAAATACATCAACTTCTTAAATCCAGGGATTCATCGACTCGTTCTATCTGTCTCAGTTTACACTACACTGGTTTACCTACTATGTACGAAAGGCTATCAAATCCACCCGTTGTAGGTTAGCTGTTACGCTCTCATTCAATCTAGAACATTCAAGGTTTCAAAAATACCGTTCAAGGCATCATTCCGTTTGAGTTGTTATGCACCAAAGGACTCTCAAAAGAACATGTTGCATGCTGAGATGGCCCAAAACGCCAATAAAGTTATTTAATTTATTTATTCGGTGACTAGTCCTGCCCCGCAATCTACGCGGACAGTACTCAAGGAATCCATTAAAGATCCTCATGTTCAAGGATTCCGCCTATAAGTAGCGTCTATGAGCAGTGCTGGTAGGATTTCATCTTATCTGGCAGCGTGATGGCAGTTCAAGGCAGAAACCCCACTTGGCGCTTCATAAAATGGAGAGGAGGCTAAAGGATTACGGCTCGTGTTGAGTGGGCTGAATGAAAGACATGAATACAGAACCCGATGGTCAGCTGAACTGCTGTTCAAAGTATTCCACCCAGCTATATTGACATTAGTCTTTGTTGTACGTCACATTTGCAATGGTATCTTCGACTAACTCATCAACAAACGATGCACTGAGTCCTGTTGTGAGGTTTATCTCGAATCACTTTGATGCATTCACTGCCGCATCAGTCTCCTCCACCTAATGGGCTATCTGGTTCCTTCAAACCTCCCCATTTACGCGCAGGTGCGATGAGAACTGAAAACACAATTGCTAAATGACAGTAGGTTTATTAACTGTTCTAGTGAGATCGCTTAAAAGGATGATGGCGATGCGAACTACACAAGGCATCCCGCTACTGGCTTAAGCCATATAT